ATCTTCCTACTCTCCACTCCAGTCTTGTCCTCTTCAATCTTATCAATGTCCTTTTGTTTTATTCCTGGTAAGTACAGGCCAAAGGTTTGCCATTTTGTTAAGGCCACTCCAATAAGATTCATAGTTTCCCATTACAGAGGCGGGCCTGATGCGGGCGGGCGGGTTTGTTCATTTTCATTAAATTTATTCATTATCAGCTGTATAAATTGCTTGTATAATCAATGAAAAACCGCAATAATGAATAGCGATGCGGCCCCATGCGGGTGGGTAATGGGAAACAAGGAATCAAATTGGAGTGGCCTAATGGTTCCACCCATTCAGCCCACAGGTCTTCTCTAGGACTGGAATCAAGGGGAGAAGGTGGGATTAAAGAGGAGGCCATTTTGTGTTGTGAAGTGTGTGGGTGTTGGGGATTTTCCCTTATCAAGGCATATAGATCAAAGCTATATGCACTGTGTCACATGATGTATAAAATTATCTACAGCTCTTCACCTTTAATACAATTGACTGTGTTTACTGCAACCAAGAATGCACTGCACTACAATCAGCAATTCGTAAAAATGATGTTAAAAAGTGAACACTATTTATAGCAATTAATATAAGAATAGTTATGGGCCTAAAAATGTCTATCACTACTTTAAACGATTCTATAAAAGGCACAAAAATTATTATGAAAATCAATTTAAACTAGTTTAGAAGTTTACTCATTAAAGTTCCTTTAGTGGGTCACCCCCATCAGGTTGCTCATTGTCTTTCAAGCACTGTCGGACAAACCTTGCACACGAGACAGCTGCAAACTTTTGCCACTTTTTGTCTTTTTTTTCATTTCCCCAGTCAACAATAGCTTTTATTACAATCCATTGAAATCCTCCTTCTCTCTCTGCAACCCGATTTATACCATTTGCTTCCATTTCTCCTCCAAGTACTTGTGGGACTTGTTTTAACATTTTCTGTTTTTCTTCTTCATTGTGTTGCAATGTGTCTTCAGATGCCAAGACACCAATGTGAACTTTAACTGGTTTACTTTTAAATTTAAAAACATCATCATGTCTGAATAAATTCAACAGCTTTCCTCCACACTGGCATTCCTTTGTTTTAACAACAGTTTCAGTTCTTTCGTTACGCTTACTTGTAGTGTTTATGATACTTTTGGCAACAATAATGTCAGCTAATTTTGTTTTATCACCAAGTTCCTCAGTTTCACTCTCCTTTGCTCCATAGCATATCCCAATAGCAATGACAAACTCAGCATTCACATCATTTTGTACTGAAGTAAGAACTCTATCGGTTTCATCTGGACCCTGGCCTGTGCTTATTATTGCAACATTACACGGCCCAAATTTCCCCAGGATAAAATTTGCTGATTGATTTTTTGTGATAACTCTAATATATTTACGATCACCTCCAGTAGGTTCAGTGGCACCCATCACAGCACGGTATTCTATAGATGTGGCAGTCACCAGAATGACATTGACTTCTTGTTATAAATTCCTTTTCTTCTTCAGTTAGTTTTCCAAAAGATTTCTTAGTTAGCGATATATTTATATTTTCTAGTTTTGGACAATGTTCACTGACATCTGGAGGTAGATCTGACTCTATTATAGTATATGTTACTAGAAACTATTAAATCATTTTGACATACTTTGATCATCACTTTTAGTCTTGTCTGGGCTGATTGC